ATGATATTATAATATCATTTTATTATTTATTATTATTATTTTATAAATTCTTAACCTCCATTGTAACAAATAATCAACAAAATAAAAATTCGACTACGTTAATAAGCAACTTTACAAAATTGTGGGAGTGCCAGACAGTTCATTTTGGTTGACAGCACAAAATTCTTCCTTTTGATTGGCCAGACGCAAGTAACGCACTGTAAAAGTTGAAAGTTGACCAACTCTTCCGTTACAGTGCGTTTCGCTTACGTCCCGTCTTGCGTTTACGTTTATTTATAAATAAGAGTACACAAAAGTCTATGTTGATCTTTTTCCAGTGCGTCTGCGTCTACAGTCCGTCAAACTATAAATCCAGCTTTACACTTTACGGTTCGGAAGTATGGGACGTCACCAAAGCTAATAAAAACAAAAGTATGACGATAGAAATGGATTGTCTGAGACGAAGCTGCGGTAGATCAAAACTGGAGAGAGTTAGAAACGAACAAATAAGAAACGAAATAAAAATGAAGCGAAATATCAATAATGACATAGAAAGAAAACAATTAATCTGGTTCGGACATGTTAAAAGAATGTCAGAGTACAGATGGCCTAGAAGAGTACTGGAATAGATCCCTTCTGAAAGAAGAAAGAGGATGGCCACGGAGAAGTTGGCGCAACGATATTGATGAAGCAATGGCGGCGAGAGACTTACAAGAGGCAACTGCATATGACAGAATAAAATGGAAATTGTGGGCAAAGAAGCGGCGACAGCCGTAATCAATCCCTTATATATATATATATATATATATATATATATATATATATATATATATATATATATATATATATAATAGTATATAAGAGTATATAAGAGTAAGAAAAAGAAGTACTTGTGACTCGTTTGGAAAAAATATAACACTGTTTTTGATGGGTTGGAGTCAATAAAAGGGGCTATTTGTTGACTATTTTTTACTCGAGCTTTCAATTGTGATTACAATTTTTATCAGAGCTTTAAAAAATACAAAATGTCTTACAAAGTTGAACTAGAAATAAAATATTTTTTGTTAACTCACCAAATAAAATTAGTTTTTTATATAAAACTACTGCTTACATAATAAATACAAAAAATATTAATAAAAAAATGTCTTATTCTAATAAATGTTTCTCTGAAAAATTTAGATGAAGTTTCTTAAGAAAAAAATTGAATTTATAAACAAAATATGTAGCTATTCTATTTTTGTTTATAAATTCAATTTTTTTCTTAAGAAACTTCATCTAAATTTTTCAGAGAAACATTTATTAGAATAAGACATTTTTTTATTAATATTTTTTGTATTTATTATGTAAGCAGTAGTTTTATATAAAAAACTAATTTTATTTGGTGAGTTAACAAAAATTTTTTTATTTCTAGTTCAACTTTGTAAGACATTTTGTATTTTTTAGAAGCTCTTGAAAGAAATTGTAATCACAATTGAAAGCTCGAGTAAAAAATAGTCAACAAATAGCCCCTTTTATTGACTCCAACCCATCAAAAACAGTGTTATATATGTATATATATATATATATATATATATATATATATATATATATATTCCATTTATATTTCAATTTGATACTGCCAACATTTATAACATTTTAATTGGGAAGTCAATTATACAAATTGTAGAAACGATATCAGTTCGAACACCTTTGAGGGATTATAGTAAATATTTTTTAACATATTATTAACAATGTTAGTATAGCCATAAACCTAAACATCTGAACTCAGAGAATAAGGGGAGAAGTAAATGTAAGAAATAAAAATATATGTGACCAAATTAATAATCTTTAAATGAGAGCATTAATTTCAATTGACCGAATTAATTAAATGGGGAAACTAAATAAGAAAGAGAAGTTTTGAAAGTTTATGAAGAATAACTTAATGACCTATTATTTCCAGATGATACAGTTTTTATAAGTAACAAGGGTGAGGATGCGCAGACAATAATATAAGTTATCCATAAGCTACAATTAAAATGTGGTATGCCCCTTCTTTCATTGTTTAATTAACATACTACAGTAGACTCGCGATTATTCGAGGTAATTGGGACTTCGGGTATCGAAAAAACTTACAAAAATCAACTTATGAAAAATTAATTATGAAACCGAAACTAACAAACTCTAATAAATACACAAAACAGTACATAAAAGGAAAACATTTACCGTACAGTAACTTAATTTGATGATCTGAACGACAGAAAACAAATAATTTGACGATCTGAACGACAGCAAAAAAATCGGTAGTTCAATTCACACTGATTAACATAGAAAGGATTCGACATGAGAAAGCATTCGACACAGTAAACCACCAGAAAATGCTAGAAGCTTTAAAAGAGTGCCGAATAGATCACCGCTACACCACTGTCATCAAAAATATCTATGATAATGCCACGGCATGCGTCAGACTCCACGAAGATACACACAAGTTCAACATTCATCGTGGAGTTCGCCAGGGCGACACCATTTCACCAAAACTGTTTACAACATTATTGGAATACATGTGTAAGCGTGCAAACCTAGACGAAAAGGGCATAAACATAAATGGAGAGCAGCTTAGTCACCTCAGGTTCGCGGACGATATAGTCCTGATAACAGACCGCATAGATCATGCCATCGAAATGTGCGAAAGACTCTACCATGCCTCTACACAAGTGGGTTTAAAGATCAATAACTCAAAAACACAAGTGATGACAAACCTTGTTCTGAGTGAGAACATCAAGATAGCTGGAACAAGTATAGAACAAACATCAGCATACAAATATCTGGGACAACGAAATTCGCTTAAGTAGAGATAACCAGACCAATGAACTAATACGTAGAATAGGGTTGACATGGGCAGCTTATGGAAAGCTAAGAGATGTTTTCCAATCAGCTCTTCCCATCTGCTTGAAGAGAAAAGTCTTCGATCAATGTGTGCTGCCGGTTCTAACCTATGGTGCGGAGACACTAACACTTACTAAGACGTCCGCAAACAAAATTCGAACAACACAGAGGGCAATGGAACGGTCCATGTTGGGATTAACCCTGAGAGACCGAATACCCAACACAGAATTGCGCCGTAGATCGGGAGTAACCGACGCAATCAAAAGAATATCAACCTTAAAATGGAACTGGGCAGGGCACGTCGCGAGAACGAAGGACGACAGATGGACAAAACGCATTCTTGAGTGGAGACCCAGACAAGATGCCTTTAGGAATAGAGGACGACCACCAACAAGATGGACGGATGACCTGAAACGGACACATCAAAATTGGATGCAGGCGGCTCAGGACAGAAATTTGTGGGGTGAAACTACGGGAGGCCTATGTTCAGCAGTGGACGAGTATGGGCTGAATGATGATGATGATGAACATAGAAAGGAACAGGAAGTTGTAGTAAAAACACGACATAAAAATTTTTGGAAATAAAGCGGTGACCAATTTCTGAGAATACCGACTTGACATCAGCTTAATCTAAAGCATACCTTACACACAATTCTCTTTTTATCAATAATCCACAATTTTCAATGGATTGCCCATATAACAGTTGCCAATATGCCTTGTGACCATCGACTCTTTTTTTTTCGATTACTCGATATTGTGATTCAACAAGTACGACTATAAAAGTAAAACCGAGGCAAAATTTTGCATCGGTTAACCGAGGGGCTCGGATAACCTAGACTCGGATAATCGCGAATCTAATGTATAACCTACTGAACGGCTAAAATTCAAGTCACAAAATATACTAAATAATACTTACAGCACTAAATGCCCAACACCCTCCACAGTTACCCTGATTCCTTACAGGTAATACTGCGCCTTTTTGCCTCCAGTCAACAGATGCTGCTGATTGTTCATTTGGATCAGCTTTGTAAACTCCCAAAGTGTTTCTAAGCAGCACGTCTGGATTGATTTTGTTATTTAACAAAGACTGGAACTGTTCGTCGGTCCAATCGGAAAATTGATTAATACCTTTGCGCCATTCTATCTCACCTCTTTCATATTTTGCATTGTGCTCTTCAATGCCACGAAGGCTCTTTTGAAAAATTTCAAATCTAAATTTGTCTTCTGCAGCTTCATAATACCTCTCATATTTAACCTAAAAACAAAAGTAAAAAATTTATTTTCAAGTTACTTATAAAGCTCTAGGTAAATAGTTCTGCGGTAATACAGGACTGAGAAAAGCAATTAAAGGGATATAAAACTATCTTTTAAATTTAAACAAAAAAATCCGCACTACGTAATCAAAAAGTCTATGTAAACTTTTTGTAAAAACATCTTTTTTTGAGTGCTATCTCGGTTTAAACGTTGGTAACCATAGATACTGGCCACTCTTAGCAGTTGTTCCAAAAAGTTAATTTATGCTCCTATCATATCAGTATTTAAGATTTTTTAGACAAGATAGACATACTCTCTTTTTGTCCAGAAGAAGGGTCCAAGAGAAACCAAAAATAAATAAAAATAAACCCCGTAATAAAAGCGAAAATAAGGCAGGGAAGGAATTTCCCTGAAGGAAGGAAGAAAATGGAGAAAATTTGAACCAAAGGAAACTAAACAGCATTAACGAGATTATATTAAATTTTACGTGGCTGTGAAAAATGTTGGTACAATATTCAGTCACGTGTCATCATTCTTTTCTTGTAGAAATTAAAATTTAAAAATATATGAGATACTTATTAATTTTAAGCAAACATTAAAATAGATTTATTAAATAAAGTGGAAACATTCATAAAATAATAAATGTGGTAAAAATAAGAACAATACAAATAATTTAATAAACAGATTAGAAAAATATTACGGATATACGAAACAATCATTGATGTTGAAACAATTATTACAAAAAGAAAGATCCAATAAAACTTGAACTCCAAACTCCAAAAAAATAGAAAAAATAATAAGTCAAACGTAACCAACGGCAGTTGAGCTATTTAGAAAAAAAAACCAAAACCTAGTCATTCTTAATGACATAGTTACTATTACAAGAGCTAAAATAATATACTTACCTTGAAAGAGATCCATTGTTCGTAATCATCATCCAGTTCAGCGAAAGTTGCCGCAATAAGACAAGCAATAACAACAAACAATTTCATGATGCTTTTTCTACAAAGAATTAATAAAAGTGTGGTTAAAAATGTAAAATAGCATTATATTCTAATACATATCTGAAATAAGAGTGTAAGAAAAATGTCTGGAAGTTTTTGAGGTTTTAAAAAAGTGCGAAAATGATCTAACTTTAATGTGTCTTTTGTATATGAAGAATCTTTGATAGTGTTTCAAATAAAAAAGAATAGGTTTTGTGTAAACTATCCAATGATTCTCCAAAGGACATATTTATTTTTCTATTAGCAGAATTTTTTATTTCTATAAACAGCTGATGCTCGACCATCACCTTAAATTAACTATAAACAAACTTTTTGATGAATTATAAAAAAATAAAAAATAAAACAATAATCTGGAGTTAACTCATCCAAGGTGCTTACCTTTCCTTTACCAAAGTTCGCAAGAAACTATACTTGCCCTATTCAAAAACCTGTTAATTTATACCAAAAACCATTGACGTGTATGAGAAGAATCGTGTCCCTTGAACAATAACCTTTATTATTTCCACCAGCCACGATTTATTTAGCGCACGTTTTTAGAAAATCGATAATTTAACAAGTTTTAAGTTGATATACCATTGGTGCTTTTTCCTGAAGTTGCTCATCTAACTTTTGCCAAGATATTTAATATGCTAAACGTATCTTTTGGTAGATAAGTACGCTCAGGTGCAAAAAATTGATCCATAGGTATTATTTGCTGAAAAAAAAAGTTTGAAGATATTAGTTTTAAATTAGGTATATATGTAAAAGTATATGTTAGATTAAAATAATGTTTACAGATTATCCAAAAAAATCATTTATTTATAGAGACATACGCCAAAACTCAAAAAGGCAAGAATGTTCAAAACTTTCTAAAATTAAGAAAAACACTGATAATAAATCAATATCTAGTGTTTCCCCCTCGGGCCCTTATAACAGTCTGTATACATCAATTCATTGAGGTAATTAACCTCTGGATATCAAATTGATCTAATTGGTCCCATATTTCTTGAAGAGCCGCTGTAAGTTCAGCCAAGTTGTTTGGACGGGGTACTCATGCTCGAAGACGTCTTCCCATCATATCCCATATATGTTCTATGGGATTGAGATCGGGACTGCAAGCTGGCCAGTTCATACGGACAATTCCCACCTCGCACAATCAAGGCCACGCCCACTTACTGGTTACCAGCTTTGAGTCATATAGCTCCACCACCCATCCGCCGGGAACATGCCCTTGTCAGAGAATTTACAAAAATCAATACTGATCCTAAGTTCCGCTCCCATGTCGGAACTTCCGCCAAAGACAATAGGCTCCGTTCAAGACACCCGCCTCTAAAAACAGCAAAAAGGCTAGTAGATCAAAACTTTAATGTAACTGAACGGTGGAGAGAACAATGGGAGAATAACGCTGCACCAGCTAACTGAAACATGCCATGTATTACAAGCAAACCTGAGGGCTTCAAACAACAGAGAAGAAATTGGACCACACTCAATAGAATAAGTACGAACTGTGGCAGATGTTCCGACTCACTTTTTAGATGGGAAAAAATACAATCACCAAATTGCGACTGCGGCGCCGAAAGGCAAACAGTAAAACACGTTGTAGAGGAATGCCCGATTAGATCCTATAACGGCAACCCTTCAGATTTCCTGGCTGCTACAAAAGAGTCAATCGAATATATTTATAATCTAGATGTTTATTTGTAGACTAATATTTTTGTATTTACTGTTGTTTGAATTTTATATAATTTATATTATATGTATATATATGAACATGTGATGTAGCCATACGCTAAATAATAAATTCCGACCTCCTCTAATATTGGTTGACGATTCTGGCACGGTGAGGACGCGCGTTGTCGTCCATAAAAATAAAATTATGTCCAATGAAAGGAGCAAACAAAAGGTACCACATGCAAATCTAAAATACTTGTTATGTATCTTGCAGCAGTCATAGAACATCTATCTACAATAACTAAATCAGTATGGGCTTCTGAACTAATACCAGCCCAAGCCATAACCGAGCCCCCCCCGCTAAGTAATTCTTTCAGCAATATTACATTGAAAATATCGCTTTCCGTATCTTCTCCAAACCCTTTCTTGGCCGTCTGGTGACCTTAGACAAGATCTGGACTCACTGAGAACAATACATTGCCCCAATCTGCATCACTCCAGTTTTTATGTTCTCTTGCAAAAGCAAGGCGAGCTCTGCGATGTTCTATGGATAGTATTGGAGATAATGCTGGCCTGTTGGATAATAAATTACCTTCTACAAGTCGTCGACGAACTGTCCATCTGCTTACATCCACATTTCTCACTTCGCTCAGACGATTTGCCAGTTCAACTGAAGTTAGATGCCAATTTCTCAAACATGATGAGATCAGAAATCGATCATCTCTTTAGGATGTTATCCTTCTACGACCTGATCCTTTTCTTCTTGCGAAGTTACCGGTGTCGCTAAAACGCCGAACTGCTCTTTTCAGCTGCATAATATTCGCTACGACCATCTTGAACTAAAGTCACCGTCCTTGCAGCATCTGTCGGAGTTAGAGACATTTAGGAAGGATAATTAAATAAAAATATAACACGTTTTGAAAATAAAATCACTACACTAGTATGGTTGTTGAATTATAAACAATATTCAATAAATATCAACTTGCTTCAGACCCTTTTTGACAAAAACCTGAAATACCAATTTGTTTTAAAAAATATAAAAAGCAATATTCAAAATATTATTTTATTTCTCGTATACAAGGGTACACCTAAATTATACATACACGTAATTTAATGTCTCTAAAATTATATAACTTCAAATAAATAAGAAATAAGGAAAGGATCGATTTTTTTTGCACCGGAGTGTAGCTACAATGTATTTGTAACCTCATTTTTGTCTAAACTAAGTTGTTCTTTACTGATATATCTAAAGTATATTGTTTTACTATTTCACTGTCGGTAAACCATTTTCTCATGCTCTAGGTAAATGTTTCTAAAGAAGTAAACAGGAGCTTTTAAAAATATTAATTGTTATGTTGTTGTGTTAGGCAAGAATTTAAAGTAAATAATCTAATTTTTAACAAACGAAGCAACAATAATTGCTAAATCAATAATGTTATAATTATCTTGTCCCAAATCCATGTATTTTGCTTCGCAATATTTTTAAACATATGTTCCAACTTGGTGGGTCGTTTGCAAATAATATACGGGTACTGATACGGGATCTTTGTACCTATAAGATATATATTCAGGGATTCTACAGTATTCACTGCCTTTCCTCGCTCAACAGCTTCCGTCTTTCTCTGTTGTCCCGTTCTCCATCGTTTAGACTTCTCTTACTCATGGCGTCATCTACTTCGTTCCTCCAGGATCTTCCGGGTCGTCCTCTTTTCCTCCTTTCCATTCAGTTATTCTCTTTATCTATTTGTTGCCGCTAGTTCTTCTTACATCCATACCACTTTAGTCTTTTTTGTTCTATATATGTTAGTATGCCTGTTTTTGTTGATGTTCTTTGCTTTACTTCGTCACTTCTTCTCCTATCCATTTTTGTTACTCTGCAGCATTTTCGTAGGCATTCAATTTCTTTTGCTACTATTATACTGCTTACTGAGTTTTCTTTTTAATAATCCAATTTTCAGCCCTATATGTTAAAACAATTTGCACTAATGGTTTATAAATCTGTGTTTTTGTCTTTATATTTAGGTGTCTATCCCACCATACTGAGTTAACTTGTCCGATTGCTATTCTTGTTTGTACTAATATTTAATTAATTTCCTAATTAAGCAAATAATTTCCAAAGTAATAGAGAAGGTTGTATACAACAGAATGTTAAATTTTATAGAAGAATACAATTTATTAACTCCAACCCAACACGGATTTAGATAAAAAAAGTCAACACTCACGGCTGCATGCAGCTTGTTTGAGCGTATTTATGATGAATTTAATAGTAGAAACCACGTGGCAGGACTATTTTTTGATCTATCACGAGCTTTTGACTGCTTAGACATAACATTTATTCGCAATAAATTATATAACATTGGTTTTAGTGGGATATTTCTAGAATTGGTAATAAATTTCTTAAGTGACAGTAAGAGTATTGTTAAAATGAAAGAATCAAACTCAGAACCATACAGGACAAATAAAAGAGTATCACAGGGATCCGTGCTGTGACCATTATTATTCCTAATTTTTATTAACGACCTACCAGATCACATAAGGGCACTTATAATATCAATGTTTGCTGATGATACCTCGTTAATAGTCTCTGAACGTACACTCGAGGAATTAAAAATGACAATGAAGACTGTTGTTGACTGCTTTATACGCCGGTGTAATACCAATAGACTAATATTAAACACTGACAAGACGGAAATTATTTATTTTCATTCATACCACTCATCTACCTATGACTATATCTTAACCATCCATGATAGAAACAACGTGTTATCTTCCACTTACTCTCAAAGTTTTTGGATGAGTTCATTGATTGAAATTCAGAGCAACTAAATTCAGTGAATATGAAATTGAATAAAGCTTTTTTTGCTATATCTTTTTTTTTTTTTTTTTTATTAAATTTGCAAATTTACAATCTGCTATTACAAGCTATTAGTAAATGTGATTATTGCAAATACATGAGAGGAGAAATTATCCATTGATAACACTCCCAATACTAACATTAACAAATTAAATTAATGTATGATTATAATTTAAAACTAAAATTGAGATGAAAAGTGAAATTAAAATTGAAATTAGTGTATAAAGTCTGTTGGCCACTGTCTCTTCAATCTTCGTCTGACTTCTGGTTGGAGGTGTAGTTGTCTTGCTTCCTCGTTGGGGTGGGTTGGCAGATGTTCTAAATAATTTCTTGTTAGTCTGCTGATTTCGTCTTCAACGAACGGTATACCAGAGTCATCATGCAGAGTTTTGTTACTGACGTACCACGGCGCG